AAAAAAATTGTCGTGGAAATGATGCACCATCAACACGAAAGTCTTCACGATTTTTATAGTTTTTTAAAATTTCTTCAAGTTTTGAATTAATTTTTGGTTTTTGTCGAGAATATTTTAAAAATGCCCAGAAGTTTTCTAAATCATACAATTGACCTAAATAGAAAAAATATTTTCTTATTGACACTTTATTTTTTTTTGTAATCTATTTTATTACCAGCTTCATGATCACAAAGAGTTTCTTGTTGAAAATCTTCAAATACATGTTGACGAAAATGTTTTTCTAGATCATATGTGTAAAATCGAAATAGACATTCAACACCATATCTATAAATAAATAATAATATTCAATTGTTTTCTTATTATTTTTCATAAAATCAATTCATTTATATGCCGATGATCAGTTTTAGTATCTTCAACAGCATAGTGCTTAAATTCATTGTATATATGACGATTAAAATTTTCACATAAGAAAAATGACCAAACACGATAGAGTGTATTCATTTCCATTGATTGATCAGGACCAAGTTTAGCACGCTTTAGAAATTAGATCATAAGAAAACAAATGTATTCTATTTGTAAATCAACATAATTTTAGATTATAAATATTTTCCATGAAATAATAAAGTTTGCCGAGTGTTTTTGATCACTGAAGATTATTTTATTGCTTTTCAAATTTATGATTATACGACAAAAATATGTCAAAAGGTAAATTATGTTATTAAATTGCCAAAATCGAAGTCATGTAAATAAGAATATAAGTCTTTCTAGACTATGATTTTTACCGGAGAGTAGTTTTCACTATTGTTTCTCGATATATTCGACTCTTCTTTAGTCATTAAAACACTCAGTTTTTTTTCCGTTCAATGCAATATAATTTCAATCCTTTTTTTACCAGTAGCTTGTTTCTCTCGACATATTGTAAATATGTACTGAACTATTAATCTTTTTTTTCTCTACAATCAACTTTTTTTTTTAACCGCCAAGACATTCTTGTCTACATTTAGGATAAACTTGTTGAGTAAAACCATTTTGTTGTAAAAGTATATGAGATGGATGTTGAAATTGAGGAATTTTCACCGATGTTGAACCATAAAAATCATATGAATTTGAATTATTTCCATGCCAATAATGTGAATCATTGTATGATGATGAATATTGATCATAGAAATCTTGTTGTCGAGTTCTAAATAAGAAAAAAAGGCTCATTCTATACTAATAATAATTGACATTCAATTGTTTGTATTAGGAACAAAAAATATAAGAAAATTCGTCGAAAAAACAATAAAGCAACGCAAGTTTGTTTTTTACTATATCCATTTACCTTACCCATATTGAACGATAAGAAAAATGATCTTATTATCTGTAATACGTAAAGTGAAAGGAAAACGTTTAGAAACGCAGTATTTTTGACTTCTTTTCTTAACGATAATAACTACTATCCATTTCAAAATATATTGTGCTCCGTTGTTTTTTAAATAACTTTTGATAGGAATATTACAGAGACCTGCAGTTTTCACCATTCAAAAGAGAAGATCCGAAGCAATTGAAATATATCAAAATTTCATTGGCTAATTGGATACGTTCTTGGCGAGAATTTTGGAAGGTTCTAGATTTTCTCTCTTGAATGGTGAAAGTCGAAGGTCTCTATGATGTTCTTATCAAAAGTTATTCAAAAAAAAACAATGGGGCACATTATATTTTGAAATGAGAAGTAGGACACATCAAAGAATCATTAAAACATTTTTTATTTTAAATAATAAAACAGAAACCTTTTTAAATTGGCATCAGCTGTTTCCAATTTTCGTTGAGCTTTTTCATAATTATCTCTTAGTTCAGTCATTGTTTGACGAATAGTTGACTTATATTAGAAATAAATCAATAAATCAATAAATAAATACTTGTTTATCTCTAGCTTGTTCAATAATTTTTTAAAATTATTCACGCCATTCTTTTCTTTTTGAATTAAATCATCAATTGTTTGATTTAAAATCGACAAAGCACCATCTGTTCTATATGGAGAGAACGATATCAACGTGCAACATCATTCAAACGAAATTCTTTCAATGATTTTGATACATCATTATCAATACTTTTATTTAACTAAACATTTGTTTTATTTTTTTTTTGTTTTATTAATTTAATCATTTAACTTACAAAATCTTTATCTGTTTTCCAAAGATCAAACAATACTTTACAAGAATTTCGAATAAAACGAACTCGGTTGTAACAATCAGATACATCATCACTTCTATATTAATAAATATTAAAAAAATAATATATTTTCATTTTTTATTTTCGAATTTCTTTGTTTAACCATATCGATAAATATCTTATTCAAATAAATTTATTTTCAAAACATTTTTATAAGGATCGATTAAATTTATTTCCTTAGAAATTTTTAATCGATAATTCGAACTATTTTATCATTATTTCGTCCTATAGAGCGTTTCTATCTAGCAGTTAAAAACAGATGTTCGACAAAAGAAGTTCAAATCGGATGAAATATTAATCATTTATTAGCGATCGTTCAGTAGAGAGAAATAAATTGTACCAAAATTGTTCAGATCAATATAATGTTTCTAAGATAGATTATTAAAATAATAAATAATCTTCATTATCAATCTTCATATATAATAAGATGGGCGTGACCAACTGTCAGGATACCCCGATTCTCATTCATTCATGTAGGTTCAACTATCTATCAGAAAAACGTGATCTTTTTATCACTTATACCACTTGTCTAATGCTATTGATCTGTAACTGTTTGAGATATAGATATTGGTAAAAATGAGGATTACTAAGGACATCCTTATGATTATATGGTAAACATGCTTCACATCATATTTGTTGATATATTGTCCTCGCTATAAACTCCATATATGATAATATTCTATCCATTCTGTCCTTCCGTCGGGTTCTCATTGGATCATTCCTGTTCGAATCGTGATCTTTTCGCTTTCTCTCGTTCCACCATTTTCTTTAACATACTTTAACTCGATAACACACACAAACGTTTATCACCCTTGGATTATGTCTTCCTCACAAGTTAAATGAAATTGCTCTGAATGTGATTATGCTCCAAGTGATCGTCGTAAATATTG